TGTTCCCAACTAACTTAACCTGTTTATATTAACCTACATTCTGCCACATAGCTCGTTACCGCTCCTTGGTAGTACACGTCTCACTTCCTCTACATCTGGCTAACTGTAGTTGAACTTTCTCATTTGGCTTTTGGGGGTCCACTAGCTCCCCAATAATGACACAGAGACTTATTATTAATTATGAAAGCTTGGCCTTTAGCTTAGGTTTGTTCCCATGTTTGCTGGTGTCCCCCCCCCCCTCCCCGCACATCAGATTCTTTCCCAGTTCCCCTCTCTCCCCAGAAGTCCTGCCTAGTCCCTCCTGCTGAGCTATTGGCCATTCAGCTCTTTATTAAACCCAATCAGAAGGCGCCTTTCACACAGTGTGATCACATATCCTGCAACAGCTGACGAATCTCAGCACAGAGTTTCTATCTCTCCCTGGAAGTCCCGCCTACCCTCCCATCAGAAGGTGCCTTAGGCAGGTGAGGAAGACAGAGACACATCTTCACACAGTGAACAAGAAGATTATCCCAGCAAGATGTTATAGTTTCTTATTCTTGCTTGTTCCCATGAACCATTTCTCCATTTTAATAGCAGCAGCTAACAAGAGCTCTTCTCCTATCTTCTAGGGGTTTTTTTAGGTTAATTTTTCAATCAAAACAGTTTTGTAAGATATAAATAGATTCAGTTAACATTAGCAAATTTTTCAGTCCCCTCATTTTTTAACTTGGAAGTTTAAGTAATTTAAGGTTTTCTTTTTGTTAGCTGTTGTGTGCTACATCTCGGGGTGAAGTCTCCATCATTGGTTGTTAAGGACCCTGTTACTGGCACCTCTAACTACTTCTTTTTTTCTTTTTCTTTTTTCTGAGATAAAGTCTTGCTGTGTAGCCCTGGCTGGCCTGAATCTTACCATGTAGGCCATGTTGGCCTCAATCATTGAGACAATCTTCCTGCCTCTGCCTCCCAGTAACGGGAGTGAGGAGCAGTGCATCACATCTGGCAGAATTATCTCTTTTCATATAAAAGACCTAGAGTGTGGCTGTTTGAGAGTGCATAAAGCTGTTGGGGTTATAAATTAAGGTAAGGAGAGAGAATATTCACATGCCTTTAACCAAAATATATATAAGTATTTCAGCCCCTTGTTTTTATGGATGAGTGATGAATCTCATTAATTATGTAAAGTATAGCCAGATGTGGCATCGTAGAGCTTTGATTCCAGCACTTGGGAGGCAGAGGCAGGTCGATCTCTGGGAATCTGAGGCTAGCCTGGTCTACAGAGTGAGTTCTAGAACAATAGAACAACCAGGGCTAAACAGAGGAACCCTGTCTCAAAAAAAAAAAACCAGAAACAGTATACACTCAGCCATTATGACTAAACAGGAGGAGACAAAAAACATGGGCCCAGAGGGCTGGAGAGATGGCTCAGAGGTTAAGAGCACTGACTGCTCTTCCAGAAGACCGGGGTTCAATTCCCAGCACCCACATGGCAGCTTACAGCTGTCTGAAGATCCAGTTGCAGGGGATCTGACACCTTAACACCAATGCACATAAAAAATAAAGTTAAATAAATCATAAAAAAATTAAAAAAAAAACATGGGCCCACCCAAAGGACACTATTATGGTGAGTAAATATTGTGGGGTATGGGAGGGAGAGAGAGAGAGAGAGAGAGAGAGAGAGAGAGAGAGAGAGAGAGATTTATGTCCTGTAGAGAGAGGCAGAGCTGAAGGAGCGAAGGCAGTGAGGAGTGGGCTGAGATGGGTGACAAGCCATGGTAACTTCCAGGCCTGGGCTGCTGCCAAGGACCATGTCTGTGCCCATGACCCTGCCACAGCCATGGTCTGTGCTGATGTCTGTAGCTCCTGTTACCACCAAAGGCAGAGACGAAAGAGCTGCACAGAGTGGGTCCTGCCCCTCGCCAGCTGCAGCACTAGGGAGAGTGGCCCCTGTATCTCACCTGGACAACACAGTAGAGCTGGCCCTGATGGTGTGGCTGCCATGTGATATTTGATTGTGTTCTGACAAATAAAGCTTGCCTGGAGTCAGATGGTGAAGCTAGTCACCAGCTGACTAGAGAGGCTTGGGGGACTGAGGAGAGAGAGCACACAGGAAATAGTAAGGCAGGACTGAGAGGATCTCGGGCCTTTGAGGATGGAGGAACAGTAAAGGTAGGAAGTGTCTGTGGCTGCTCCCTGTTCTCTGATCTTTCAGGTTCTTACCCCGATATCTGACTCCCAGTTTTTTATTAATAAAGATTAATTAGATTAACACTTCATTGGGCACCCAACATGGGGCCAGACTGTCCACATAAAACCTGACAAAGCTTTAAAAAAGATTCTAGACTCACAAAAACAAAGTCAAACTTGACTTCTTGGTAACCACTTTTTCTCCAGTGGGCTCTATTTGCTGGTGGCAAACAGAGGCGTGGTTCCTTTAAAAGAGTCAGTCTGCCACACAGGAAGCAAGACATGCTAGAGAACAGGTAATGCCATGAGCCACATGGAAATACATAGATTAATAAAAACTGGTTCATTTAAATGTAAGAGTTAGCTAGTAATAAGCCTGAGCTATCAGCTAAGCATTTATAATTAATGTAAGCCTCCGTATGGTAATTTGGGAAGCAGTTGCCAGTAATTTAGGAACAGGCAGTCAGGACAGGAAACATCTGTTAACATGTAGGTGTGCAGGTCCTGAGGGTATAAAAAGCAGTAGAACCAGCCCCAACCCTTGCTCCTTGCTGTATGGGGTGAACTAGCCAGGGAAGTGCTGGAGAACTCACCCTAGTGGTGAGGATGGGGGAGAGCTGGTGGGCTGACCAACCCTGCAATCACCCAGGCCCACAACTAGGGCTATAAGTTGACCCACACCAACACCCATCTCATCTATGATCTTTTGGAGCATATGAAGGGTCTGGTCCTTCTAAACCAAAGCTGCAGGATCTCCATGACACAAGGCAACAACAGGATATCCAAGAGGAGTCCCAGTGAGGGCCCAGTATAGTGTAGCAGAAACCAGAGGCCTCAAACCAGACCAATGACTCTGCAATGAACACTTACCAGTAACAATGCATGGACTAAAGGGTGTACCGTGTGACTCACTGTGTCACACTACAGTTTCCATGATGAGATATTAATTTCTCCCCCCTCCCCTTTCTTTTTTTCTTCTCTTAAATTTTATGTTATTTGGGAGAGGGAGGTTGCCAGGGCAGAGAGGGAATACAAAGGGACGGGAAGATGAATGGGATCGAGACGCATGATGCGAAAGCCACAAAGAATAGTAAAAGGTTTTTTAAAAAGCATGTTCTCAAGCCTAAAATAATGTCACCAGTCATCATATATATATTGTTTATATACACTTAGTTACATTTTTATACATTGCTATAATGACAGTCCATATGGCAATGATGAACTTGCTGAATATTCAAAACTAAAAGGCAAAAATCTTGGTGGAAGAAGTTAAGAGCACTGGTTGCTCCTTCCAGAGGACCCAGGTTAAATTCCCAGAGCTCACATGTTGTCTCACAGTCATCTACAACTCCAGTTCCACGGATTTGACACCCTCTTCTGAACTAGGTGGGTACTGCATGTATGTGGTGCACAGACAGACATGCAGGCAAGACACTCATATACATAAAATAAAATAAGTAAATCAAATTTAAAGAAATTATGGAAGAATATATTCCTCTTTTTATGACAAAGGAATAAACATGAAGCTGTCCCAAATAGAAAAACAATGGCCACTCAAAGTATGTTTTGCCTTTGTGTGACAATTACTGTATTTGTTCATCATAAAGGTGGAAATTGAGTGTTCAGTGCAGTTTCCAATAAAAGGTAATTTGACAAGATGGCAGGTAAAGTCACTTACCGCTAATTCTAATGACCTGTGTTCAATTTCTAGAGCCCACATAATGGAAGGAGAAAACCGACTCCTGCTATCGTTCTCTGCCTTGCCTAGCATGCATGCATGCTATATGCTTGCACGCACACACGCGTGAAAACACAGAATAAATGAAAAAAGAAAACCAAAGGACACAAAAACTGGAATAAAAAAAAAAAAAAAACATGTTCACAGATCAAAAGAATTAATGATGCTAAAAGGACCACACTGCCCAAAGTTACCTATAGATCAATGCAATTCCTATCTAAATACCAATGACTTTCTCCACAGAAATAGAAAAAAAATTTTGAAATTCCTACAATGGGGCTGGATAGCTGGCTCATTAGTTAAGAGCTCTTGTTGCTCTTGCAAAGGACCTGGGATCAGTGCCCAGAACCCACGCGGGGTTCACAACCATCATAAGCTGAGTTCCAGGAGATCCAGTGACTCTTGTGGCCTCTGCAGGCACCAGGTACACACATGGTACACAGATGCAAAGCAGGCAAAACACGCATAAACATGAAACAAAATTTTACACCATTTCCCTAAAAATGGCAGAAGTACAAAAGAGTCAGAATAGCCAATGCAATCCTGAGGAGGAAGAGGAGGAGGGGATGAGAACAAAAATAAGAATTATCTCTTTGAGCAAGGCACGGTGGCACAGGCCTGGAATCCCAGCCCTTGGGAAGTAGAGGCAGAAGGACCAGCAGTTTGAGATCTTCCTCAACTACATAGAGAGTTTGAGGCCGGCTCTCACTCTGATCTGGGTAAAGCGGTTGCTTGAGTTCACATGGACTAGCAAAAGCAGTTGTATTTTAGCAGAAAGTAGCTGTGGTTGGCTGCAGCTTCTTCAAGGCCGTCCATTCACTCAGTGTTCATCTTAGCAGGATGGCCATGAGAGCAGTCCCAGCCAACCACAGAGGAGCTGAGCCACGTGGTTGACAGTCCTCAGCCCAAGGCTGTCAAGAATAAAGACCTGAGTCAGGCGGAAAGGCATGTGCCTCTAAACCCAGCACTCTGGAAGCAGAGTCAGGTGGATCTTTGTGAGTTCAAGGCCAGCCTGGTCTACAGAGCAAGTTTCAGGACAGCCAGAACTACACAGAGAAACTCTGTCTTGAAGGGAAAAAAACAAAGGACATGTGTAAGAACTCTTAACAGTCTTTACCATGAACAGACAGCATTAAAAGTCGGCACTGCAGCTTCTTATGAAAGCCGAGCCGCTCCAACCGCGGTTAGCAGGACTTGTTTGTCTTGCTAACAGTGCACAGCCGGGTTCCAGAGCCCTCCCCCCAGGGAGCACCTCTGATCCTCTGGCACCACAAAGGCCCTGTGCAACCCAGATAAGAGGACTCTATGAGGAAGCTACACCCACGAAGCGATGCTAAGCCAGAACAGTGCTCTGGATGTGGTTTTAGCCACAGTGGGACGGGGAAGATCCAGGAACGAGTGAGCTCTGGATGATTCTACCTGGGTGAGCAAAAATACTTCTATTTGGTACACGTGTGACGCTGGGACTTCAGACTCGGGCCCTTGCACATGTTAGACAAGCGCCCTGTGTTGAGTTGCACCCTAACACCAGCCCCCAGAGGCGTTGTTATTCATGGGGGGGGGGGGTAAAGAAATTTTTAATTTTCTTCTTTCTATTCTTTTGAACATTACAATTTTTCCTCAAAAAAGAAAAATTGTATGTGTAGAGTTTTGTTGCTACTGATGCCGTTGTAGCCTGCTAAAAATAAGGAAATCTTAGAAACCTGAATAGATGAGACATGGACCACATAGGCCTAGCCAGGAGCACAGCCTAGAGGCTGTGGGATCCCTCACCCCCCACACCCCTCCCACCACCCCCACCCCACCCCTCTCACACACCCCCACCCCACCCCCACTCACCCAGGGACTTTGGCCCACCTTGAGGAGAAATCAGCTGCCCTGAAGATGGGAGAATGAAGACTCCTGATGCCCAAGGCACTACCATAAAGGGGGTAGGTGGACTCACAGCAACTGAGGCCCCAACTAGGGCCAGAGAACTCACGAACACAGAGACATAGACTCCAGGCAGTTATAACCTCAGGGGCCAGAGAAGACCTTCCCTACTCTCTCTGAGCCAGCTGCAGAAGGTTGAGGAAGCTGGCCCTGGTGAACCAGAGCTCAGTCAATGAGAGTTCCGTGTTTATTCATCCCCCATACTGAAAGTAGAAGTGGGCAGAAGCTGTGAAGAAGCACATAGCCCCTAGGGGCCTAGAGCGAGACCCAGTCATAGCCCAAAGGCCTGTCTAGTGGGAGGGACAGGGGCCAGTCTGCAGAGAGGGAAAGGCATGTGGTAAAGTGGAGTATCCCCTTCTGCCTTGACTCTGGGCCAGCCTGACTTCTGCTACCTTAGAACTGCTGAAGAACCAGCCACAGGACATGTTGGTGGCCTCTGTCCCAGCTGGCATGACACTTGCCCTGCTGAAAACGATCCAGTGTGCCTTAGGTGGTGGCACTGTTGTTCCCAGCCTCAGTTTCCCTCTCCATCCCTAAACCCATCTAAATCTCTCCAGACCAAAGGCCAAGATCCTTACTGTGTTTGTTGATCTTGGCCAACCAGCCATGACCACAGCACTGGCCAGGGGTCTCTTCTTTTCCCTCATGATCCATCCTTCCTCCTTCAGTCCCAGAAGCCCCAGTTTCAGCAAGTGTCAGTCTAGCCCAGGATTTACCAGCCCCCCCATCTTCTGTGCACAGGAACATCTGATAAGTATCAACTGACATGGTTAATAGTCACAATTTCACAACTGTGGAATTATGATTTATTATAAAAACGCACACGTTCGAGTTTTAATATCATGATGTTTATATCTGACCATTAGGCCTGATTTTGATTAATATCTTGTAATATCAAAAGCACTAATTAAATGGAAACTACATTTATCTTGTAAAGAAAACATGATGGTTTCTAACAGGGGTGAAAAATGAAATCACACTCAAAAGAAAGAGGCTACAAAAGCAACTATGAGATATATATTGGTCTCTGGTTACAGCCGGGCCCTGCCTCTGAGAGATTCAGAGCTGCAAACCTGCATCTCTACAAGAAATGGAAGGAGAAGGCGCTAAAGACACCATGGACAAAAAGGAGCCTCCCTCACTACTTCAGAGGAATGGAGAACTACAATCAGGCATTGTTGTACTCTACCCCACTCCTCAGGGAGGGGTGCAGCGTCAGGGTCATTGCTCACGTCTATAAGGAACTCAGAGTCAACCATCACTCAGCTGAGCATCTTCTCCTTCAGGAAGCCCCCCCCCAACCACTAGGCCCAGGCAGGGGGCACCCCGGTTGACCTTCAGACACACCACACAAAGCCATAGGTTGCCTGTGGTACAGAGGTGCCCCTCCCGTAAAGTGAAGTTGGCCTGCATTTCCATGCCCAAGGCCCTGGGACCCTGGAAGCCTCCTGCCTCTGAGATAGGCCCTCAGGGCTGCACTTAGGGGATAAGCCAGGCTATTTTCATCATTTCCTTCCTCTACTAAAGCAGCGGCCACCACTGCCAGTTCCCATAGCTTACACACGCTACCACCACAGCCTTGACCAGGATGCCACCAGCTCGTAGAAGGTGTGCCCCAACCAAGGCCTCACAGGTAAGTGGGTCCAGCATGACCTCCTGCCTGGTGTTCACTCCAGATGAGCTGGCAGAACGAGAGGGGACACTGTGTCTCTCCCTTGACCCTCTCCATAAAAAGATGGAATGTGGGAGAACATTTGCTCTACGATGTCAACCAGCAACTTGGCTGAATCAGGATCCGTGTGTCAATCAATGAGCACTCCCTGAAGCCTCCTGTGAGTTGGACCCTGGTAGGAGAGCAAATGCTTGAGAGGGGGAAACAGTCCCTAATCGTAAACTGGGAGGGAAGGCAGGAAACGAGGCAGAACCAGACGGACCTGAGACATTTCCCTGACTGCACTCTGCCGTGGACTTCTGGGTTGCCCTGGGTGAGTGCGTCCCCTCTCTGGGCCTTCACTTCTCAGCTCTGGTCATTGGCCTAGATGAGTAGCTTTTAGACAGGTCCCTGTGAGGTCCCCGCTGAGCTGCCAGCTGGAAAGCCCTGCAGGTTTTTTGAATCAGGTATCATGAGGGACGGCCAAGGTGCAGAATGGATGCCATGGCCTGACTCCAGGCTCAGGCAAGGGACTAAGTCTGGAAGGTTCATTCCCAGCCTCTGTGGCCAGTCCCTCAGCAGTCACCCGCTCCCCTATTTGAGCAGGGGCTGGGATCTCTGCCAGAGACCTGGGCTACATAGTGAGTTCCAACCCAACCTAGAGCACAGAGTTCCTGCGCCCTCCAGAGGCCTGGAAAGAAGGGACACACCTTTGTCCAGCACAGGTATCCTGGTATGGGCTGACAGGCCCCACTCTCATTGCTCTCTGCCCACAGCTGGCCTGCCGGATGACTACCTGGGGGCTCCTGTTTCTGCTCTGGCCCGTGGCCACAGCCACCCAGGCCTGCCCAACGCCCTGCACCTGCCAGCCCTTGGAAACCATGGGGTTAAAGGTGAACTGCGAGGGGCGGGGCCTCACAGCCCTGCCTGTGCTGCCAGCTCACACTCGCCAACTCTTCCTGGCCAACAACAGCCTGCGTTCAGTGCCACCAGGTGCCTTCGACCACATGCCACAGCTGTGGAACCTTGATGTGACACACAACCCCTGGCACTGTGACTGCGGCCTCACCTACCTGCGCCTCTGGCTGGAGGACCACATGCCAGAAGCCCTGCTGCACGTCTACTGTGCCAGCCCTGACTTGGCCACCAAGCGTCCACTGGGCCAGCTGACAGGCTATGAGCTGGGCAGCTGTGGCTGGAAGTTGCCACCATCCTGGGCCTATTCGGGGATCTGGTGGGATGTAGCACTGGTAGCTGTGGCCATACTGGGCCTGGTCCTACTAGCTGGCCTGCTGAACACATTCACAGAGCCTCTGAACTGAGCCTAGCCCATGACACCAGGCTGGCAGTCCAGACCTAAGCCGGGTGCCCAGAAGCACTGGCCCGAGTCGGTTCATGCCATTAAAAGCCCACACAGGAGAGCTGCTGAGATTACTCAGTGGGAAAGACACTTGCTGCAAAGTCTGAAGACCTGAGTTCAATCCCCAGGACCCATATCATAGGAGAGACTCGAATTTCACCTTCACACTCATTCTGTTCATGCACAGCAAATAAATAGATGCAATTTTTAAAAATTAACAATGAACCCACTGCATAACCTTTTTGTATAAACTCAACATAGTAATTTTCTTAAATCTGGCTTCTTCTAGAAACCTGCATTCGTTTTGTTTGAACCGGGTTTGAGGCTTCTCTCTCTCCTAAAGTTTCCCACCCAAACACCCCAATTCCATAATCTCTGAGCAGCCTGAGCCAGGTCCTGGGACCAGCTCTCATGGCTTCTGCCAGCCGCCTCACATGACCCAGTTGACTGGACACAGGACTGCAGGCCCCATCGAAAGTCTCCTGGACACAGCAGTGGTAGGGCAGAGTGAACTGAAGATCCAGGGGAGAGGGAGCATCGTCATGGTGCTCTCCCCATTGGCCTGGGACCTCTGTTCCAGCATGGGAGGCCTGGGGGCTCCCTGCATCTCCTCTGACCTCCTCACTCTTCTCTACCTGCTCTTCCAGTGTAAAGGAGAAAACAACTCTTCCCCACGTGCTGGCACCAGCAGCTTCTCAATTCTGGGTCCCATCCTGCCCTAAGCAGTATCAGAGTCTTACCCTGGACATATCTACCTACCTATCTATCTATCTATCTATCTATCTATCATGGAAGTTCCATAGTTACCTGTGAGCTAGGAACTGTGCCAACCAGGATGAGCCTGTGAGTCAGAGGTTCCACTAAGAAGGCCAAGAGGGCAGAGTGCCCTATATGACACGGGCCTGCAGGATTCAGTAAAGAGTAGGAGCCAGAAGAATAGGATGGAAGACAATGGGGAGTGGTGGGGACTGGGGTAACTAGACAACCTGGGCTTCACTTATAGGCCTATATGTCTACATGGTGGGAAAGCCAGGCTCTCAGGCCATAGTTAGTACCTGAAGTAGTCACGTAACCTTCCAGACAGGCTGCCGCTAACCTTACAAAAGGTCAGGATGTTGCTCTGCTCCTTCTCTGTAATTTGAAGGATGCCTGACTAGAGATGCTAATTCAAGCCTATGTGACTGAGCTAGCATACAGACCGGGAATATATGACAGAGGAGACACAGGTAGATGTGGAAGTGATGTGGAAGTAACCAAAACCCATTCACCTGGTTACCTAGGAAACAGAATGCTAATGGTTTTACCCCTCAGTTTACATTTTGGTATAAAAGCTGTTTGGAGAATAAATGAGGGGAATTCTTCAGCATGTAAACTCAGATTTCATGAGGGACCATTGAGAATCTCCCTCTCGATAAAGCCATGTGAGTTGTGTCTTTATTCCTGTGCTTCCACGCCGGTCCAGGGAGAGATAGTTTATGTTGGGGTCCGGTCCAGAGAAATAATTTATGGTCTTGGCTGCCACCGGACCCTGACAACCACTGAGTAGAAAGTCCTCTCTAGCTGGAGCTCAGATGTAGAGGGTACTGTCTATACGTTCTTTAAGTGTTGGCAGTCAAATCAGACTTTACAAAGATCAGGCCATGGTGGCTATGCCTGTAATCCAAGCACTACGGAAATGGAAGCAAGAGGATTGCTCCAAGTTCAAGGCCAGCCTGGGCTACACAGTGAGTTCCAGCCTAGTCCAGAGCACAGTCTTGAGAGAGAGAGAGAGAGAGAGAGAGAGAGAGAGAGAGAGAGAGAGAAGCCAGCAGTGGTGGTACACGCCTTTAATCCCAGCACCCGGGAGGCAGGAGGCAGGTGGATCTCTGTGAGTTCGAGGCCAGCTTGTTCTACAGAGGGAGTTCCAGGATCATCAGGATAGTAAGGGATACAGAGAGAAATCCTGTCTAAAAAAAAAAAAAAAAATGAAAGAAAAGAAGGAAGGGAGGGAGGGAAGGAGGGAGAGAGCAGTGGGAAGAATGAAATGCAACTGCCCACATGGAGCCCAGGGGCCGAGAGCTTGCGGCTCCTGCATTAGAAATCAGCAGTCACATGGACACCAGTAGCAACAATGAACTCTGGCATCTAAATCCCCTGTGGAAAACCCTGCACATTGAGGTATTCTCGGGTACCTCACTAACAAGCAGTCTTCCCGGGCATATAGGGGATATGGGCCTTAAGCCACCTACATACAGGCCACTATGACCCTTTCACAAGCCAGAAGTGGTCAAAAATCTTCTGAAGCCTGACAGGGTAGTGAACATCTTTAATCCCAGCTTTCAGGAGGCAGAGGCAAGCAGATCCTTGTGGGTACCAGGCAATCAGGGCTACATATTGAGACCCTCTCTCAAACACACACAAAAAAATGAAAATTTTCTGAGCACATGCAGGTCCCAGGGACCAAGGCCTTCCGTTCCCAGTTCTAACATGAGGGACAATCTAGATCCTCCTACACCAAAATTCCACTACTGCCCCCTCCTGGCACTCCAGTATGCACATATAGGCCTTCATCCTTCTGGCTAAACTGGCTCTGTCTAGAGAGAACCTGCCAGTTGCCCCAAGCCTCAGGAGGCAGGAGTTGGGGTGTGATTTCCCAGAGGTCTCAGAGACAAGACTGGAATTTCACCACAGATCAGGTGCCAGAGTTTTGGGTTTGAAGGTCTCCCAAAGGTCCATGAATTGGAGGCTTGGGTCCCAGCCTGTGGCACTAGAGAGGATGTGGGACCTGCAGGAAGAGGTGGGGGGGGGGTCTCATGAGTGGAAGTTAAACATTGAGGCTGTGCCTGTGGAGGAGGCATTGGAATACACACCCCTCTCTGCTTCCCGGCTACCAAGGAGGGAGCAGTAGCCACCACAGGCGCCTTCCATGACTGCTGCCTAGACACAGGGCCAAACAACTGAAGTCAGCAGCCCAAGCATTTCTCTTCTCTTCCTTTTGTGTGTCTGTGGGGGGTGTGTGTGTCTGTGTTGTGTGTGTGTGTGTTGTGTGGTGTGTTGTGTGTTGTGTGTGTGTGTCTGTGTTGTGTGGTGTGTGGTGTGTGTGTGTGTCTGTGTGTCTGTGTTGTGTGGTGTGTGTGTGTGTATGTGTAGGTGCATGTGCAAGCATGTACATGAGCATATGAAGGCCGGAAGTTGGTGTCTGGTATCTCTCAGCCACTCCTCACCTTAGTTTTTTGAGTCAGAGTCTCTCACTGAGCCTGGAGCTCGCTCACTCACCTAGATCACTTGGCCAGCAAGCCCCAGACATCTTCCTGCCTCTGCCTCTCCAGTGCTGGGGTCACAAGTATGCACCCCAATGCCTGCCATTTGATGTGGTTGCTGGGAGACAAAGGGAAGTGGGCATGGTGGCGCATGCCTTTAATCCCAGAACTTGGGAGGCAGAGCCAGGCAGATCTCTCTGAGTACAAGGTCAGCTATCCAAGTGAGTTTCAAGCTATCCAGGGCTATATAGTGAAGCCCTGTCTGAAAGAAAAGAAAAGTTCTAAAGAATCCAGGTGATGTGGTCCCCAGAAGGGTCAGACTGACAGAGGCCAGCAGAATGTGAGTGCTGGGGCTGGCCATTAGTATCGGAGGGCACAGAGCCTCGACATGGAAAGATGGAAGTTCAAAAAAGATGGTGTAGCTGCCATATAAAACTTTGTCAAAACAGGATGCCATAGAGCTACACATTTCTATGCAAATGAATAAAATACTATACTATGCACATTTTTAAAATTTATTTATTTTATGTATATATAAACACATAAATACACAGGTGTTTTGCCTTGTCCTGTTATAAAGATTTTACAATTTAAACACACACACACACACACACATACACATAAAAGTGCTGGAGAGATGGGTCAGTAGTTAAGAGCACACACTGTTCTTGCAGAGGGAGTTCAGTTCCAAGCACCCATGTCTGGCAGGCAGCTCCTAACTGCCTGGAACTCCAGCTGCGGGGGCTTGGACACCGCTGGCCTCTTCAGGCACCCGCATTCACGTGCATGCACACACAAATAAAATATTCTTAAGGGCTGGAGAGACAACTCAGGGGCTTAGAGCATTGAGCTCTTCCAGAGGACTCAGTTTAATTGCCAGCACCCATGTGACAGTTCACAGCTATCCATAACTTTAGTTTGATTTTTAAATAATTTTAAATACATAAAAACAGTGGGGGCTGAGATACCAATCAGTAGTAGAAAGGCTTGCCTAGTGTGGTGGTTTGAAAGAAAATGTCCTCCCCGCATAGGCTCCAAGGGAGTGTCACTACTAGGAAGCGTGGCCTTGTTGGAGGAAGTGTGTCACTGAGAGTGGGCTTTGAAGTCTCAGAAGCTCAAACCAGGCCTAGTGGCTCACTATCCCTTCAAGCTGCCTGCAGATCCAGGTGTAGAACTTACAGCTAAACTGGGCGGTGGTGGCGCACGCCTTTACTTCCAGCTCTGGGGAGGCAGAGGCAGGCAGATCTCTGTGAGTTCAAGACCAGCCTGGTCTACATGAGCTAGTTCCCAGGATAGGCTCCAAAGCTACAGAGAAACCCTGTCTCAGAAAGAAAAAAAAAAAACCTCACAGCTACTTCTCCAGCACATGCTTGCCTGTACACTGTCATGCTTTCTGTCATGACGATAATGGACTAATCCTCTGAACCTGTAAGCCCGCCCCAACTAAATGTTTCCCTTTATAAGAGTTGCTGCGGTCATGGTGCTGCTTCACAGCAATAGAAACCCTAACTAAGACACCTAGCATATATAAAGCACTAGGTTCAAACCCTAGCGCCACAAAATAAAATGTTTATAAAATAATATAACGTATCTCTGTAAGTTCCTGCTACGGAGCTAATCTTTGTCCCTCCAACTTAATTGTCATCGTAACAGCATTAAAGGCATCACCTCGAGAGGAGATCTGCTCCGTTCCTTTCTCATCACATGATGACCTCCATGTCAGGACTCATGATGTGGCCTTAACCAGATACCCCAGAACTGTGAACAAAGAAATCTCTAGCGTTTGAATTTGAATGCTCCAACTTGCCAAATTGAGACTCACAGACGGTGACATGCCTCTAGCCAAAGACAAGCACAATTAACATTTTTCTAAGCCTTTCATTTTCTAATTTAGAAAGAATATATTTTCTCTGAAAATAAACTAGCACTGCGTGACGGGAGAGTCACTGAGCACCACGTCACAGTGCTTCCTCTGGTGA